CAACGTCCCCATTGTGCAAGGCCTCGAGCTGAGCATAATTAAATCCTATTACCCAGGAAAACTTGCAGCATAGTTGCTCTGACGAATGTGATAATTTGTTAGCTCAATCTCTAAGTGTGATGAGAAGAATTCTGGGCTGGGTACTGTACCACCCCTGCCCTTAAAGAGTTTATAATCCAACAGATGACACGCCCATGGAAATGGTTAAAGAAAGTCCCAGGCAAAAGTGGGTGGTCACTAGGACAGAATCAGCAATGAGAAACAATAACCTGCCAGCTCTTAGAAGATTTCCCCAGTGCTCTTTCTGTGGTGAGAGACAGCCCAGCAAAGTGACTGCAGATCTGAGCTCCAGTCAGAGTGGCCGGGTGTGAAGCTGGTTCCAGGCTTTTGCCTACTGAATGCTGTTGTTGCACGGGGTCCTCAACATCTGCTAACCACGGTGCCGTGTTCTTTAAGATAGGGATGGCAGAGCCAGCTACTTCATAGATGGGTGACAATGACTGTAAAACACAGATGGCAAGAGTGTGGAAATGGCTCAGCGGGCAAGGCCTGTCTCACAAGTATGAGGCCTTCGGTTTGGACCCCAGAACCCATGCGTGATGTCTGCTCTTGGTTGCCAACTTGAATACATCTGGAACTAAAACCCAAAAACGGAGGGCTCACCTGTGAGGGGTTTGTTCCGTTTTGTCTTTGCGTAATTTGAAGTAGGGAGATTCACTTCTACTTTGGAGCTAGGAATCTGGATCTTGAGGCAGGAAGACACACACCTTCAGTCCAGACTATGAGGTGGGAAGACACACCCTTAACGTAGGCCGCGCCTCCTGCTGGAAGTCTGCAGAGTGACGGCAGAAAAAGGGAGCTTTTGTTCTTTGCCTGCCTGCCCTTGCCTTGCTGGGGTAAGTCTATTCTTTCACTGGCCCTAGAGCCTACTTCTCTGGGATTCCAGAATATCCTAAAGACCAGCTAAGACATCCAGCCTCGTGGACTGAGCGAGTATTGGATTCTTGGGACTCAGGGTTCAGCCAGACGTCGTTGGATGAACTGCACCGCAGCCTGTAAGTCATTCTAACCAATCCCCTCTATATGGAGAGAAAGATTAATCCTCTGAGTTCTGAAGAGCCCTGGCTAACGTACCATGTGAAAAGCTGGGTGAGGCAACACGTGTCTCAGGGCATGGAGACCAGAAGATCCCTGAAGCTCATCGGCTAACCAGCCTGGCCAAATCAACGAGCTCCAGACTCTGAGAGAGACTCTGCCTCAAAAACCTGAAGTGGAACATGCTGGAAGAAGACCCAGGAAGTGAACCTCTGACCGCCACACGAACGCATGCACACGCACAGCCACACACATGCACACACATTTGCAATGACCTTGTACACACACACATGCACACGCATTTGCATATAACCAATGACCTTGTACACATTACACATACACATGTACACGCACATGCACACGCACACGCACCCACACGCAAACTAGTGCTCATCTTATTCAGCTCACTTCCCCTCCTTAAAGATGGTTTATAGTAGGCCCTCCTATTAAATGAATAATGAATCGCGGAAGAGTAAAACAAAGAAACGATGAATAAATTATTCAATGAGACTGTCACGGGGATAAAAAGCGAGAGGAATCACTCTGGTTTTGCTGCGTTTGTTTGGTTCGTTTTATAGTTCAGTGGATCAAGCCCAGGCCTTGCATTTGCTAGGCAAGGCTCTAACACTGGGCCACAACTCTTGGCCTCAGAACCCTTATTCTTGATCAGAGGCAGAAAGAAGTTCCTCAGAGGGTACAGCTTTTGCATGGCCATTGGAGAGTAGGGTAGATGAGCATGAACTGAGATTGTAGCCTCGGAAGGGACCTAAGAACTGTGGAGTGCTTTTGTGAGGGAGGAGGGGGTTTTGGCAGAGATTTGAGAAGATACTACCACACACAAAGAAATGGAGGCCACCCCCATAGTCCAGGTGGGAAATGGAGAGGTGGGGTGTGAACTAGAGTAAGTAAAGGGGGAAGAAAAAGGGGGGAGTGTATGAGCGTGGGTGGAAATCAGGGGCAGAGGGCAGTAAATAGTCTTCGGGGCTTGTTGCCCGGGTGGTCTGCACAGCCTTTATTACAGAAACCATTATTAAACCACAGAGAGAAAATGATGCATAAACCAAACAATTGTTCATCTATTTCTCCTGAATCCCATAATCCTAGATTATCGTGGAAGATGAGACCAGCCCCCCAAACATTTACCATCTGCTGCTTCAATTCTGTTCTCTGTGGCCTAATTCCAAGAAGCCTCAGGACCTGTTTTGTTCTTGGGAAGACTGGCCTTACCCTCTGTGAAAATGTACCTGGCCATCAGTCCCAACACTTGACTCCAGATTGGGGTTCTGGGAGCTGGGATCCTCTTCTTTGCATGATTGTTGTTTCAGACATGGTCACTTAAGTTGGGGGGCCAGGACTATCACTATTATCTTTCTAAATTGTTCATTAAAATGTCATGAAGCGCCTTGTCGAATATTTTGTTGAAATCAACAATGCATGGTGTCTGCCTCTATCTGCTTCATTATCCTATTTAGTCTGATCTTAAAAACAAACGAACAAACATAGATAGAGTGTCTCATGAACCTGGAAATGGGTGACCATCCACTTCTCTGTAAGTACTCAGGAACAATTTGTTTCATTATCACAAACTTGACTTCTCAAGTTCAAGTTTAGAGGAATGTGTTTGCTATGACTCTTTGTGTGTGTGTGTGTCTGTGTGACTATGTGTCTGTTCTCTCTCTCTCTCTCTCTCTCTGTGTGTGTGTATGTGTGTGTGTGTGTGTGTGTGTGTGTGTGTCTGTGTGACTATGTGTCTGTTCTCTCTCTCTCTCTCTCTCTCTCTGTGTGTGTGTATGTGTGTGTGTGTGTGTGTGTGTGTGTGTCCCCGTCCAAAAGTGTTTGCAAGTGACACATATGCACATGTATGCAGAATCCAAGCATCAACTATGGTTGTTGTTCCTCAGGAATTGTCCCCCTTGCCTACTTTTTTGAGACACTCTCTCACTGTGACCTGAGGCTCATTCGTCAGTCTAGGCTGACGCCCTGGCTGACGCCCACCCACTCCTGGCTCTCCAGTGCTAGGATCATGGGCGCATACACATATGCCTGGCTTTTTTTTTTAAATCCACAATTCTTTTATTTTATTTTATTTTATTTTTTATTTAAAGATTTATTTATTGATTACTTATACAGCGTTCTGCCTACATACCAGAAGAGGGCACCAGATTGAATTGTAGATGGTTGTGAGCCACCATGTGGTTGCTGGGAATTGAACTCGGGTCCTCTGGAAGAGCAGTCAGTGCTCTTAACCTCTGAGCCATCTCTCCAGCCCATGCCTGGCTTTTTACATGGGTTCTGAAGATCAAATTAAGTTCCTCACTCCTGCACCCACAGACCTCTTTTACGTTTTTAATCACATGAAGTCAGCAGACCCTTCCCTCTTCTGGGCTCCAGTAAGTTACTGTGTATATAGCTGGTTCTGTCTCATCACTGGATTTCAGCTCAAATATATTCAGGGAAGACTTCTTCAGAAATACAATCAAGGCCCAAGCCTCCCCCACCCCATAACTCTCACTGTACAATGTTTTTAAGAGATTTGAAACAATTTTGCTCAGTTATTTACTATAAATTGAAGCTTCTCAAGAGCAGGGCTGTTGCATTGTTCTGGGCTGGGGTACTAGAGGTGGGCATGCCTCCTAGCTCAGGCGTGTGCTGAATCCATTCAAGGACGGTCACTAGCTTAGAATTTGAATGGTCCAGCCTCCTGTGCTCTGGGCTGTCACAAAGCCCAGGGTGACACTCCTGCTCTCCCCTGAGGTCCCTGTCATAACCACTTTGCCAAGTAATTTTTCCTAGTTGGTTAGAATTAAGTCCAATACAGAAGTTTCCCAAATCTCTTCTGCTTCTGGCTGAAAGATGAAATTATCAGCCAAGTTGAACACGGCAAACCAGATCTGTTGTCCCATGTGAGGCTGAATAAAAGTGCTCAGTCCTTACTAGCCCACACTGGGCCTCAAATGAAGAGGCTACACCCCTCAGAAGTCTCTCGGTACCTTACAGGCTCCCCAACTTCACGGAAAGGCTGGATCTGCTCTGCCATTGTCAAAATGAAGTTCTCCACGACACTAATGCTCATTTGTGAGTCGCGGCTTTGGTGAGTGACATTGGGCCAGGCTGATAGCTACTTTACCCATGGAGTTCAGGACCGCTTTGATTGTATGGGGAAGAAGCGACTCCACCTATGTACAAAAAGATGTGAGTAACTGAAGTTCAGCAGAGACACTCAAAAGGCACAGAGCCATTAGGCAGCGAACTATGATTACCGGCTGCCCCCTCCGCCCCACCTGAAGCAACACGGCCTCGCATCTGTCCTGGTTTCCAGAGCTGAGTCACAGTCCTTCACTTGTTGGCTGGCTTCTATTCTTACTTAAATAATCCCAAAATGTTGACTTGAGTGTGTTACAGTTTTCCTTTTGTCGCATCGCAAACGCCATCTCAAGTCTATACGGCCTTTCAGAGTATGCACCCACCAATGATGACTGCAGTCTGCTGGGGCAGTTGCTCAGGAGAAACAGTTACCGAGAATTCACGAGCCGGTGAATGCAGGGACTTGATTGGGAACTTATTCTTGTTCTGCACACTTGTGATGGTGTTAACTGTCAGCTTGACAGAATCTAGAATTACCTGGGCCTCTAGGCATGTCTGGAGGGGGGGATACCTTTTTTAAAAAATAGAGTATTGATTTATTTCATTCCTTAACAAGAATCTATTGCTTTTCACTAATGTCATGTTGTCTTTTAATTTAAAAAAGTAAATTTTTCATTTTTATCTCCATTTCAGTTTTTTAAAATTAGTTTTTATTTAAATTTTTAAAAAATCTTATTTTACATACTAATCCCAGTTCCTTCTCCCTCCAACCCTCCCATTCCCCTAATCCATCTCCCCATCCCACCCACCCGCCCCACCCTCCACTCTCCAGGGAGGGTGAGGCCTCCCATGGGGGATCACCAAAGTCTGTCACATCACTTGGGGCAGGACCTAAAGCCTTTTCCATATGTCTAGGCTGAGATAGTATCCCTCCATGGGGAATGGGCTCCCAAAGTCCATTCGTGCACTAGGGATAAATACTGGTTCCACTGCCAGAGACCCCATAGACTGCCCAGACCCCCCAACTGACACCCACATTCAGAGGATCTGGTTCAGTCTTATGCTGGTTTCCCAGCTGTCAATCTAGAGTCTGTGAGCTCCCACTTGCTCAAGTCAACTATTTCTGTGGGTTTCTCCAGTCTGGTCTTGACCCCCTTGCTCATCACTCCCTCTCTCTCTCTACAACTGGATTCCAGAGTTCAGCTCAGTGTTTAGCTGTGGGTGTCGGCTTCTGCTTCCATCAGCTACTGTATGAAGGCTCTAGGATGGCATATAATGTAGTCATCCATCTCATTATCGGAGAAAGGCATTTAAGGTAGTCTTTCCACTATTGCTTAGATTCTAGTTGGGGTCATCCTTGTGGATTCCTGGAAGTTTCCCTAGTGCCAAGTTTCTTGCTAAGCTCATAACAGCTCCCTCTACTAAGGTATCTCTTTCCTTGCTCTCCTTCTCTGTCCTTTCTCCTACTCGACCTTCCTGATCCCTCATGTTGCCCTCCCTTCTCCCCTCCTCTTCTCCTATCTCCCTCCCCCTCCCCCCATCTGTACTCCCAATTTAATCAGAAGATCTTGTCCTTTCCCCCTTCTCTGGGAGACCATGTATGTCTCTCTTAGGGTCCTCCTTGTTTCCAGCTTCTCTGGGGTTGTGGATTGTAGGCTGGTTATCCTTTGCTCCATTTCTAATATTCACTTATGAGTGAGTACATACCATGCTTGTCTTTCTGTATCTGGGTTACCTCACTCAGGATGGTTTCTTCTAGTGCCATCCATTTGCCTGCAAATTTCAAGATTCCATTGTTTTATCCCCCTCCCCACTGAGTAAATGTACCATATTTTCTTTATCCATTCTTCATTTGAGGGGTATCTAGGTTGCTTCCAGGTTCTGGCTATTCCAAATGCTGCTATGAACATGGTTGAACAGATGTCCTTGTATGACTGTACATCTTTTGGGTATATGCCTAAGAGTGGAATTGCTGGGTCTTATGGTAGACTGGTTCTCATTTTCCTGAGAAACTTCCATACTGAATTCCAATGTGGCTGTACAAGTTTGCACTCCCACCAGCAATGGAGGAGTGTTCCCCTTTCTCCACATCTTCTCCAGCATAAACTGTCCTTGGTGTTTTTTATTTTAGCTTTTCTGATAGGTGTAGATGATGTCTCAGAGTTGTTTTAATTTGCATTCCCCTGAAGACTAAGGATGTTAAACAATTTCTTAAGTGCCTTTTGAGATTCCTCCATTGAGAATTCTCCATTTAGATCTGTACCCCATTTTTAAATTGGGTTACTTGGTATTTTGGTGGGTAGCTTCTTGAGTTCTTTGTATATTTTGGAGATCAGTCATGTGTCAGATGTGGGGTTGGTGAAGATCTTTTCCCATTTTGTAGACTGTTGTTTGTCTTATTGACTGTGTCCTTTGCTTTACAGAAGCTGCTCAGTTTCAGAATGTTCTAGGTGATATCTTTTGGGAGGGGTTTCAAGACGGAGTTTCTCTGTATTGTTTTGGAGATTGTCCTGGAACTTGCTCTGTAGACCAGGCTGGCCTCGAACTCACAGAGATCCACCTGCCTCTGCCTCCAGGGTGCTGGGACTAAAGGTGTGCACCACCAAAGCCTGGCTTCTAGGTGATATCTTGATTACATTAATTGAAGCAGAAAGATGCACACACCCCTTACAGATGGCATCATTCCCTGACCTGGATCCTGGATTGTGTATCATTGGAGAATGGTACTTGACCAGAAGCTTATATTCATCACTCTTTGCATCTTGATTATGGATGTAACACACTCATTTGTCTCAAACTTCTGTGGCCTTGAGTTCCCCACTACGGACAGATGGACTGTACCCATGAACTCTGAGACAGAGTAGACTCTTCCTCCCTTAAGTTGCTTTTGTCAGAACATGTTAGAACAGCAACAGGAGAAGAAAATACGACAAGAGACAAAGGTAGAGAGGGTACCAAGTGGTAAAAAAAACAAACGATGCTCCCCAAAGTTGGTGTGCTTGTTAGACTTTCTGAGATGGACTATAGTAATGAGAAAGATCTCAAAACACCCTAATACACACAGCATGATACCTTTGCTGTGATGTTTGATGCTTGGGCGCAATTCGTCTCTGTGTTTGGAACCCAGCTCAAAGCTTTGCATCCTCTTCCAGCTGAACACTTCTTCCCAGGGAGGAAGTGAGCTTCGTCTCTGCGGCTTGCGTTACTGCCTATTTCAGCTGCTTATAGCGTCACCAAGCATACTGTCACCATCTGAGTGCTGACACCTTTGGTATTAGGTACCAAGGTTCTCAATTATGAGTGGCACCGCCACCCCCACCC